GTAAAAGCTAAAACTGCTCAACCACTCCTCATGAAAACCCCCTTTTATTTTTGGAGTTAATACTGATGCCTGTTGTGAACTCTATTTACCGTGGCTGTGGGTCCCTGCAATGTGCAGCCAATCAGGAATCGAGGAACTGTTTACAGGTGAAGCTGATTTGTTCTCAGCTGACTGAGCAGGTTTGAACTGGAAACAAGTTACAGAAACACAGACACAGAAGGGTGTGCTGTTGTTCTCCTCAGCAGAAACTGCCTGTTCTCTGCTGCAAATAACTATATGTAAACTTAAAGAAAGCCAGTTACCTTTGCTGCTGTGAGCTGTGACTTTTGAATTGACAAATAAGAGACATTTTCCAAGTGGCTCCATTGTTCTGTACATCTTACAAACCAGTGGAACCTTCCTGAGAGAGACAACTGAGGAACAACAGCCTGACTAGCCAAAGTAGGATCAGATCAACATCAGAATTGAGAGAGAGAGAGACCACTGAACTGACTTTCCAGCTTTTACCACCTCTACAAATAATCAATTTTTCCTATTTATTTGTCTCTGTGTGTTAGGGGAAGACCTTCTAAGAGGAATTAGATTTTTAGTTACTAGTGTTATAGACCAGTGGTTAATACTTGATTACTTGTAGCTGTGGTCTAAATACTTCTCAATAATAATTCTTGTTTAGTGCAGACAGCTGGTCTGTGCTTTCTATCAACATTGATCTGAAAATCAGGTAAATTGGCGGAATGTGTGTACTTTAAAAAACAGTAACATATGGATCCAGGAATAGTGGACCTTGATTTATGGTGTGCTACCCTGGTGTGTCGTAGCCTCTTTCAAAGCTGAAAACACCATAGAGCTGATTTTAACTCCCAGTGGGACTGACTACAGGTCCCCAACTGTGGAGTTTGTGTCAGAGAGCCAGGACATTTTAACTCCTGACTCTTCAATGAACACTGCCAGTCAGTGACTTTGTTGTTTGGAGCAGGAAGCAGCAGAATGATAAGGCTGGTGGCAACAAGGTAAGTCATTGATAGGTGGAGTATGCCCCAAGTGGAGGTGCATATTGACCCCATTACACCAGGCACCCATTCTGCTTTTCTGTCCCTTCTTAAGAATACATATTTTGTCACATACATTTTCATATTCACTTAGCGGTCTCACTGACTGGCTGGCAATTTTAACCAAAGTGGGTGGGGGCAGTGAACTCCAGTCAGGAGTATATTCTTGAAGCTCCAATTTGCGTTAGACATTGAGGCTTATGCCAGAATGCAGAAAAGTCTTCACCCACTGCCTAAGATGACTGCATTCCAATTGTACATTAGAAGGAGTTGCATAGGACTAGAGTTTACTGGGTGTTGTGGGCCCTGTCCCCTCTGTGCATGTGAGTGTGTGCGTGCGAGTGTGTACGTGTGTGTGTGTGTGAGTGTGTGTTTGGGCTGAGACTAGCCTTGATTGCTGTAAGGTGATTATCTCTCTCCCCACACCACTTCTTGGGAGGAAGCTCTGCCTTAGAGAACTGTCAGACAATCAGATGGCCAGAGGTTGAGTGTTAGCGGGGATTGGTGCGCACTGCTGGGATTACAGCAAGTCCGGGAATGGGAGTCTACTGGGTTCAAGGCGATAGAGAAGACAGTTAAATGGGGGATTATCTTGGGGGAGGAGGGCAGGACTTCTGATGGATTCTGGAGGCCAACTCCTCTTTGCAGAAACCAGACCACACAACTAAAGCTGTCGGGCTTTCTGCTTGACTGGGGCCTCCTGTTTGGGGTTGCAATGCCAGCAGAGAGGATGTGATGTATTGTGTAAGGCAGCTGGGCTGAAATGGATCACTCAGAAGCTCTGTAAGAGCTTCTCCCACCGACCTACAGTGAGCACACGCACATTCAGGTACTCCACGTTATTAACTAATGTCGCCTCATTTTTATTCAGCTTGTGATTCTCCTGGGAACTGGTGAGAAACGAGATGGTACTAATTCCTGATGGGCAACTCTGAGCGGGTACCTGGCAGTAAAACTCACCAGGTGCTTCTCTGGGCCTGTCCCTGCTCACCTTTATTTCCCAACATCTCATGGGACACTTCATGGGCAGTGCCAGGCTCCACCATTCATCCAGAGAAGTTGGCTCAGCAAAACAGCAGCTGGTTACCATCAATCAGCTGCATTAAGTAGGCCACATTGCTCCCTGCTTGACAGAGGCCTTCCAAAGCATGTTTGCTACTCCAAACTCTGACCCAGGAAACAGTTACCAGGAGGGCAAAGACAAATTTTCAAAGACATCCTGAATGTTTCCGTGAGAAAATGCAGTATGTCTACCAACCAGTGAGAATCTCATGCTCAAAACCAGCCAGACTGGAGAACGTAGGAACAGGAGTAGGCCATTTAGCCCTTTGAACCCATTGCACCACTCAATGAGATTTTGGCTGATTTGTGGCCTACATGGCTGCCCCAGGCCCGTACCCTTAATACCCTCGTTTAACAAATTATATCCATGTCTGATTTAAAATTGACAACTGATCCTACTTCCACTGCCGTTTGTGGATGAGAATTCCAAACCTCTACCACCCTTTGTGCATAGAAGTGCTTCCTAATGTCTCTTCTGAGCAAACTGGCTCTAATTCTCAGACTAATCCCCCTAGTTCTAGAATCCCCAAACAGTAGAAATAGTTTATCTGTCCTGTCTTTGCTATTAATATCTTGAAGACCTCGATCTGATGATCCATTAATCTTCTAAATTCTAGAGAACACAGGCCAACGTTATATAATCTCTGAGAAGAAGAATCAGTGAGAGTGCCAAGCATTTTTAACATCTCTGATGGGCAGATATGAAGGGCAATCTCAAACAGTCGCAGGAGTGTATGAAAGCCCAGCATCCCTCCCCTTCAAATGCCACTTGTTCCACTTTGGCAGAGTGTGCAGATCTAGCATTGGGTGTTTAGTCACCTCAAGGTCCCACAGCTCCAGAATGGAAGAAACTCACCCTTTGTCTCAGGGGTCTGCCTGAGAAGAAGATGGAATAGACCACTTCTTGTTACTCATGAACATTCCTTTTCCTCTGAAGGCTTTATCAATGATTAATCCTTCACTGCTTAATGCTAGTAAGCAACATAGACTGTGATTGCAAAAAGGATTGGTGGCAGAAAATTACCTAAAGTGATCCAAACACAACCAATTGCAAGCTGTGGATATATCTTCCAACAGGAGGTGGCCCTTATGTGGCTATCAATTGACCATTTATGGGGTTCAATAGGCCCAAAGATGTACAGTCTGCTTCACACCACTCCATTCCCTGTAAAATCTTAGATAGTTTAGGGGTGGATGGTTAGCCACTGGATTTTATATGTCCACTACCCCAGCTTCAGCCATGTCAGTGGAGGACCATAAGAAATATTCCATTCAGCCTTTCTAATCTACGCCAGCAAACACTTGCCACTCTCTGAAGAAATTAGTTCAAAAGAAAATCGAAAGCAAATAATGGAGTAACTCCATTTCAAGTGCTCACTTGGTCCTCACCCACCAGTTGGAGTGAGTTTAAATTCCTGCTTGTGGTTCTCTAGACTTCCCTGACAATTCTTTGTCACTAAGATCAACCTCAGTATTTGTCCAAATGATTTCCTGGCCTTGGATGTCACTCATGTGACCTGGGCACAATAGTCAAGATTATGATTGTGATCATGATACTTATAAATTACCTCTACGCAGTTTGACTGTGCATTTCAACATTCTACCTAGTTTAATTGTCGCATGCTCTCCATCACACCAGTAGCGAGTTGTTAACTCAGGCCGAGAATCAAATCTCAGAACTTAGTCTGTGTATTTCAGCTAAATGATTGAAAGAATTAGCTCAGCCATCAATTTGCAAAATCTCGCCATGTCTGAATGCGTTTCCTCCGAGTGCTCCAGTTTCCTCCCACAGTCCAAAGATGTGCAGGTTTGATGGATTGGCCATGCTAAATTGCCCAGAGTGTCCAGGGATATGCAGGCTAGATAGATTAGCCATGGGAAAATGCAGGGTTACACGGATAGGGCAGGAGTGTTGGGTCTGGGTGGGATGCTCTTTAGAGAATTGGTGTGAACTCGATGGGCTGAATAGCCTGCTTCCATACTGTAGATATACTATGATCAGCGATCTCATTTGTTTGATTTTTCCAGTTAAAAAAAAGACTCATCTTAAAATCATTTATTTTTATTTTTATTTCACATGTTCAATTTTACTGTTTTTCTGATGAGTAATTTTAAGAAAATTTCTATATTTTCACAGATTTATCACTTTACACATTACAAACATACAATTACATTAAAAGTAATGCAGATGCAAATACCCTATTTCCTGTTTTTTTTACTGGTTGGAACAACGCAGGTGAATAGCTTAACGGTTAGCAGTATAGACTGGATAATGAAAGGTAATTGTACGTGACCATCCTGTTTAAACAATGTAAATGTGTTTATTTGGGCCAATTTTTTTAAAAAAATGGACATGTTCCAATGATTTCACACCTACCCAAGGTGACCTTAAATGTAGTGTTCAGTCAAAATATATTCAATACTGTTTTTTTATATAGAGTGGTGCTGATGCAAACTGAGGCCATTGTATTCTTTCACAGTATCAGAGCTGTAATCTGCAGTCCTTTCATTTAAAAAAAAAAGCTGTTGCCAAATATTTATATGTATTATTTCAATGATAAAATAAGTCCTGTAATATAATGAAGCTATACAGTAAAAATAATTTTCCCTTTAATACAGTTGGGCATAATAATCTCTGACTGAATTATAGAATTGCTCATTGTGTTGCTAAATAAGTATTTTTATACAATCCAATCAATTACACATACCAAATTAGGACTGATAATCAACAAAATTCTGCAAATTTCTTCATCCCATGGGAAATTCTAGCAACATAAATAAAGACCAACAGTTTTTACATGTTATGTGGTTTAATTCTTGCACTAACCAGAAAGAGGCAGTGTTGCTCTGCCTAAAAGAAAAACCAAGTCTGATCTCTTTCTCCTACAGAAAGAACGTGAAAAAGGTTCCAATCTAGCATTCATGTTCCGTCAACCATTTGCTGCTGGGAGAGTCTTCAGCATCAGCATGCTAGATACACTGTTGTACCAGGTAGCGTTTTTTTCATTGTTATTATTAATAAAATAAATCTACGCTCACACCTAATGCATAATGGCATCGGCTTAATGTGCCTTGGAATATTGCCAAATCAGGAATTCTGAAATATCGATGCCTGCTCTGCAGATTAGTATCTGTTCTTTTAATCAGACTGATTGACATCTAGATTTATTTAACATTCATCCAATAAATCAACAGTCCAAAATGCTGTTACTCTGCTGAATATAATCGAGCAATCCAAGCAATGGATTAAGGTCTTTGACTCTATCATATGTCAAAATAACCTCCTAACAAGGTTTGTTTTGATATTATTACTTTACCTTCTACAGATAAAAAAGCCATCCATCTCTATTTGGTCAGAGAGTTATTGTTGTTACTCTGTCCAAGCTGCTAAACAGATACCTCAGCCCTGATAATTCCTAACTCTTTTCACCTCTTCTTCAAAACTCTGCATGATTGTATATTTATTTGTGACTTGGTTATGAAATGTTATTGCATCCTTTGGGAAAGGGTATTGGATTTCTATCCATTTGTAGGATTTATTAGGATTCGGAATCTGCAAACACTACCTGAAAGTGAAGAATGTTGGAACTTGTTACCGTGAGATCACTTTGAGCAGCAATTTCTGCAGGCAGAAGTTCTGGGCAGTCTTTAGTGAAGGTGAATGTGGTCTTGCCCACCAGCTATAGATCTAGTGCCACATCACCACTTTTCATGAATAGTTGCTACATTAATTACCAATCGTGCCCTTAACTGGACAGTGGCAGGCGTTCCCTGGTAGCAAGGATCCTGGGAGCATGTTTCCGAGAGCTGCTGGTCAGCGAGACACGGGAAGCTCTTTAGTTTTGGGCAGTGCCATCAGGGATGCAGTGTGCTGCCAATACGATACCAACTTGAGTCCTAATAAAACTGGACCCCAGGCCACAGGTAAGCAATGGTAACAGGTTGTTCACAAAGGAGGGGGTTCAGCAACGTGGGTTGGCTCTCATCTGGCTCCACTATCACTCTGCATTAATTGCCCACCTCATAATTGGCAGAGCAAGAAGGCTGCCCAGAAACCCTCCCACCACTGACATAATTGGAGTGGAGGCAGGAGGGCAGCTTGGTTTCCAGTCAACACCTTCCAACCTGTCTAAATGGCCCCTCTTCCCACCATAGGGGAAGGTATTAAATTGCAGTTGTTGTTTCTGAACCTCCAGCAGGCTATCTGTGATGTTACATAAGGCCGACAATCCAACTTATTCACATCCATGTTTCAATCCTGGATCTTCCAATGCATTCCTAACTTTGGGGGAAATGTGTTGCAAAGGCACTTTGGTTCCAACTCATCAGTTCCAAATGATTTTTGGTGAGAAAATTGCTGAGGAACGTAGTAACAATGCATAAATGAATTATTACATTGTTTCATTTAATAAAGCATTGAGTTTCTTACTCAGGTACATAAAACAAATTATATCATGTGCCATTTTATGTTAGCTATTACATCATGCTAACAAAATCCTAGCTATGTCATTCCCTACATGGTGGCATCTGATAGCATGGAACGCTGTCAGGAAATACTGCGTCTCCAAACTTATATTTCCAGTTAGCATTTTATTTCTTCGCAGTTTCTTCCCATCGACCACAGATAGGGGCCTGGTGTTTGGATAGTTGACTTTTTTTTACTCCATCTCACACCAATCCTCATCTCAACCACACAAGAAAGACATGATGATAGTCTCAAAACTTATTTAATTATGGGCATGGTGTTTTACCTCCAACCAAAATGATGACCAAAGTTTAGCAACTATTATGTAACAACAATTTATTTCATATTTTGTTCTGGTTGATCTGTGTTGATCTGGTTCTTCAAAAACGCCAGTTGGTCAGTTGAAATGGCTTTAACCATCCAGTGACAAGAGTAATGGTTAATATGCAAATGTGTCTTATTTAAAACATTTAGAAACATAGGATTGAAACATAAGAACATAAGAACTTAAGAACTAGGAGCAGGAATAGGCCATCTGGCCCCTCGAGCCTGCCCCGCCATTTAATAAGATCATGGCTGATCTTTTTGAGACTCAGCTCCACTTACCCGCCCACTCACCATAACCCTTAATTCCTTTACTGTTCAAAAATTTATCTAGCCTTGCCTTAAAAACATTCAGCGAGGTAGCTTCAACCGCTTCACTGGGCAGGGAATTCCACAGATTCACAACCCTTTGGGTGAAGAAGTTCCTCCTGACCTCAGTCCTACATCTGCTTCCCTTTATTTTGAGGCGATGCCTTCTAGTCCTACTTTCACCTGCTAGTGGAAACAACGTCCCTGCCTCCACCTTATCTATTCCCTTCATAATCTTATATGTTTCTGTAAGATCTCCCCTCATTCTTCTGAATTCCAATGAGTATAATCCCAGTCTGCTCAGTCTCTCTTCATAATCCAACCTTCTCAACTCTGGAATCAACCGAGTGAATCTCCTCTGCATCCCCTCCAGTGCTAGTATATCTCTTCTCAAGTAAGGAGACCAAAACTGCACACAATACTCCAGGTGTGGCCTCACCAGGACCCTATACAGCTGCAGTATAGCCTCCCTGTTTTTAAACTCCATCCCTCTAGCAATGGCAGACAAAATTCCATTTGCCTTTTTAATTACCAGCTGCACCTGCAATCCCACCTTCAGCGATTCATGAACAAGGACACCCAAGTCCCTCTGCACAGCAGCGTGCTGCAATTTTTTACCATTTAAAACATAGTCCATTTTGTTGTTATTCCTACCCAAATGGATGACATCACACTTATCAACATTGTACTCCATCTGCCAGACCTTTGCCCACTCACTTAGACTATCTATATCCCTCTGCAGACTTTCAGTGTCTTCTGCACACTTTGCTCTACCACTCACCTTAGTGTCATCTGCAAATTTTGACACACTACACTTAGTCACCAACTCCAAATCATCTATGTAAATTGTAAACAATTACAGTCCCAACACTGATCCCTGAGGCACACCACTAGCCACTGACCGCCAACCAGAAAAACACCCATTTACCCCTACTCTTTGCTTTCTATTGGTCAACCAATCCTCTATCCATGCCACTACATTACCTATAATACCATGCAACTTTATCTTATGTAGCAGCCTTTGATGTGGCACCTTGTCAAATGCCTTCTGGAAATCCAGATACACCACATCCACAGGTTCCCCATTGTCCACCATGCAAGTAATGTCCTCAAAGAATTCCACCAAATTAGTTAAACATGACCTACCCTTCATGAACCCATGCTGGGTGTTCCCAATGGGACAATTTATATGCAGATGTCTTGCTATTTCTTCCTTAATGATAGATTCAAGCATTTTCTCCACTACCGAAGTTAAGCTAACTGGTCTATAGTTACCTGCTTTTTGTCTACTTCCTTTTTTAAATAGAGGCGTCACATTGGCTGTTTTCCAATCTGCGGGAACCACCCCAGAGTCCAGTGAATTTTGGTAAATAATTACTCGTGCATTTGCTATTTCCCCCATCACCTCTTTTAGTACCCTGGGATGCATTTCATCAGGGCCAGGAGACTTGTCTTCCTTTAGCCCCATTAGCTTGCCCAGCACTGCCTCCTTAGTGATAATGATAGTTTCTAGGTCCTCACCTGCTATAACCTTCTTGCCATTAGTTTTCGGCATGTTATTTGTGCCTTCCACTGTGAAGACCGACACGAAATAACTGTTTAATGTCTCGGCTATTTCCTCATTCCCAGGTATTAAATTGGCCTTCTCATCCTCTAAAGGACCAATGTTTGCCTTCGCCACTCTTTTACGATTTACATATTTATAGAAACTTTTGCTGCCTGTTTTTATATTCTGAGCTAGTTTACTCTCATAATCTATCTTACTTTTCTCTATAACTTTTTTTGTGACTTTCTGTTGGCCTTTAAAGATTTCCCAGTCTACTAGTTTCCCACTACTCTTTGCTTTTTTGTATGTGTTTTTTTTTCAATCTGATACTTTCCTTTATTTCCTTAGACATCCATGGCTGGCTCTCTCTTTTCCTACAGTTCTTCCTTATCACTGGAATATGCTTCTACTGAGCGCTGTGAAAAATCGTTTTGAAAGTCCTCCACTGTTCCTCACTTGACCCACCATAAAGTTTTTGCTCCCATTCTACCTTAGCTAACTCCTCCCTCATTCCTTCATAGTCTCCTTTGTTTAAACACAGGACATTGGTACTGGATTTAACCTTCTCACGCTCCATCTGTATTTTAAATTCGACCATACTGTGATCGCTCCTTCCGAGAGGATCCCTAACTGTGAGATCATTAATTATTCCTGTCTCATTACACAGGACTAGATCTAGGATAGCTTGCTCCCGCGTAGGTTCCATTACATATTGTTCAAGGAAATTATCGCGGATGCATTCTATGAACCCCTCCTCAAGGCTACCATGACCGACCTGGTTTGACCAATCGATATGTAGATTAAAATCCCCCATGATAATTGCTGTACCATTTTTACATGCATTAGCTATTTCTATGTTTATTCCCCCCCCCACCACGATGACATTATTTGGTGGCCTATAGACCACACCTATCAGTGACTTCTTCTCCCTGCTATTCCTATTTCCACCCAAATGGATTCAACGTTTTGTTCAGTAGAACCTATATCATCTCTCACTACCGCCCTGACATCATCCTTAAAAATCAGAGCAACACCACCTCCCTTACCTTCCTGTCTGCCCTTCCGAACAGTTTGATAACCCTGGATATTTAACTCCCAGTCATGACCATACTGTAACCATGTCTCTGTAATGGCCACTAAATCATACCCATTTGCCATGATTTGCACTGTCAACTCGTCCACCTTGTTTCGAATGCTCCGAGCATTCAGATAAAGTAAACAGACAATTAGTTATCACATTTTCTTGATCCTGTTGTAGTAACTTTGAACAGTGTCAGAAATTTGATGCACCATTCAGGACAAAACAAGTTGACTATATTGACACTGTATCTTAGATATTAATTTCTTCCAAACATCATTTAAAAAATACACAGCGCCAATCACCCAAGATTCTTTGCCAGCACCTCACAAGTTCACAACAGCTACCAGCTACAAACACAGAGAACGCCATCACCTGCAAGTTCCTTGCCAAGTCCCAGATTCTCTGGATGTGGAAACATATTGCCATTCCTTCACAATCACTGTATCAAAATCCCGAAATGCCTCTCTCCCGGCATTGTCAGGGTGGCATCGCCACATGAATTGTAACAGATCCAGAAGGCAAGATATCATCTGCCATTTTCTTGGGGACACTTTGGGATGGGCAGAACATACTGTCTGTGCCACTAATACTCGAATTCCTGTGATTTAAAAATAGAAGGAAATATACTTGTCACTGCAGAAATACTGCTTATTAGTTGACAACATGGTAATTTGTCAAAAAGTATTGAAATCTGACTGACTGCACATATGATTAATTCCTTTTTAGTTTGGTACAATGGGTATGTAATGTATCCGTAGACAATGGAAGGGGGTCATTGTTGAATTCCCCAGTTTTGGGGAAGTTCAATTATCTTTTCGTGTTAAGCACACTTTTTTAGGCTTGCCGGAGGAAATAACAATTTGCTGTAGTAGGTGTTTCCATTCATTTCTTTTTATTTGAATGACTGTTTTCATTTTGCTTGCAGTCATTTGTGAAGGACTACATGATCTCTATCACAAGGCTGCTTTTAGGACTGGATACCACTCCAGGTTCTGGATTTCTCTGTGCAGTAAGTTCTGTTTTTCCATTCTTGCAAAGCCTAAGGTATAAATTGTTCATTAAGCATTTGTTTTGTGTCTTGCTTAAGGTATTTTATTGGTTAAAGCCCTGTTTCTCGAGAATATTTGTGGTTCAAATTATCCCTAATCAGAGGCTTAGATTTTTCAAGTCTCTGTCAGCTATGTTTTTCATGTGTTGCCAATCAGAATATAGAACTGATGCGAGAGTTGGAACTCTTGAACAAAAGAGAATGAGAGAAGTAATAATAGCTCTTGAAATGTGGGCTCAGCAGAGGATCTCATGCAGAGTGGCACAACACAAGTGTGCTAGGCCCGTAACACAGAAGTCTATGAATTGAAACCATGCCTACTATTTAGTTTTACATAAATATTCATCCTTCAGGATCAGGTCACTTGTTTGGTTGGCTGAACTACATGTTTGCGATGCAGAGTGACGGCCAAGGTTACTCTGAAGGACTCTCCTTCTCAGCCTCTCCCCTTGTCCAAGGTATGATGGCTGTTTGGTCAAACTAAACCCCAGTTGTCTGTCTCTCTCATAAGAGAGCAGCCCTACGGTCTGGTAAGAGTATTTTATTTTTGCCTTTATGGCTGAGGATACTCAGAATCAACAGGATGGACAGAAAGACAAATGTGTGTGTTGCATCAAAAGTATAGAATGTAAGAAAATATTTACCATCCTCTAATCTGTCCCTCCATTGCAACCTTTTGTACTTCAGTCTTATTAATAATATTGTGGTCACTGCTCCACTGAACCTTCCTCCTATACAGTGGGGACAATAAACGCATGCAGTGTTGAAATAAGAGAATTTGCAATCTCATTACTGTTTTTGATCTTACCAAAGATAACAAACCCTTGGAGCTCCTCATTTTTCTCTGCTTTTCTTTTGATCGAGTCAGGATTTAGCCGATAAATTCTTTTTTGTTATATATGCATGTTCGCAGGCTGAGGATACTAAACTTCCAAAAATCCACTTTGAGAAAGTATCAGGCAGATGATTTCCCTTTAATGTCTATTTGGCATCATTTAACAGCACTTGCTGATTGATCTCACCACCTCATTTAGACTTTCCAATCCTGGTGGCATCCCACATTGCATCTTGGCCCTTAAAAGAAAGAATCACCAACAGGCAAATTTTATTGCTTTATTAAATCTGAAGTGTGAAAATTTGTGTGCCTTAAAAACGTGATTATTTGCTGGTTTTAATTCATAAGAAATTTGCATTCAATAATAATTGCGATAAGCCCTGGCTGGTAACTAAGCAACTGTATGTTCTACCAGGCCTTGTTGATGTTGCTGAATAAATTGTTACAATTGCTTAGTGGTCAGAATAACATTATATATCTGCAGTGTTTTAAATACTACTGTTATCCAGTTGCTCTGAAATCTCAAATTGGCTCTTTAATTGAGTTATATAATTTTTAGTTAATTCTGCTCTCATTGACCACATATCATGACCCTGAATTTTCTCTAGACTCCTTCTATAACTCTTGAGAGAGTTGAGTAGAACATGTTGGAAAGCAGCAGGAACTCAGAGATAGTAGGAACTGCAGATGCTGGAGATTCTGAGATAACAAGGTGTAGAGCTGGATGAACACAGCAGGCCAAGCAGCATCAGAGGAGCAGGAAGGCTGATGTTTCGGGCCGAGACCCTTCTTCAGAAATGGGGGAGGGGAAGGGGGTTCTGAAATAAATAGGGAGAGAGGGGGAGGAGGATAGAAGATGGATAGGGGAGAAGATAGGTGGAGAAGAGACAGACTGGTCAAAGAGGCGGGGATGGAGCCAGTAAAGGTGAGTGTGGGTGGGGAGGTAGGGAGGAGATAGGTCAGTCCAGGGAGGACGGACAGGTCAAGGGGGCGGGATGAGGTTAGTAGGTAGGAGATGGGGGTGGGGCTTGAGGTAGGAGGAGAGGATAGGCGGGAGGAAGGACAGTTTAGAGAGGCGGGGACAAGCTGGGCTGGTTTTGGGATGTGGTAGGGGGAGGGGAGATTTTGAAGCTTGTGAAGTCCACATTGATACCATTGGGCTGCAGGGCTCCCAAGCAGAATATGAGTTGCTGTTCCTGCAACCTTCGGGTGGCATCGTTGTGGCACTGCAGGAGGCCCAGGATGGACATGTCGTCTGAGGAATGGGAGGGAGAGTTGAAATGGTTCGCGACTGGGAGGTGCAGTTGTTTAGTGCAAACCGAGCACAGGTGTTCCACAAAGCGGTCCCCAAGCCTCCGCTTGGTTTCCCCGATGTAGAGGAAGCCACAACGGGAACAGCGGATGCAGTATACCACATTGGCAGATGTGCAGGTGAACATCTGCTTGATGTGGAAAGTCTTCTTGGGGCCTGGGATGGGGGTGATGGGGGAGGTGTAGGGGCAGGTGTAGCACTTCCTGCGGTTGCAGGGAAAAGTGCCGTGTGTGGTGAGGCTGGAGGGGAGTGTGGAGCGGACAAGGGAGTCACGGAGAGAGTGGTCCCTCCGGAAAGCAGATAAGGGTGGGGAGGGAAAAATGTCTTTGGTGGTGGGGTCGGATTGCAGATGGCAGAAGTGTCGGAGAATGATGCGTTGGATCCGGAGGTTGGTGGGGTGGTACGTGAGGATGAGGGGGATTCTGTTTTGGTTGTTATTGTGGGTAGGGGGTGTGAGGGATGAGTTGCGGGAAATGCGGTAGACACGGTCGAGGGCATTCTCGACACAGCCAGCAGCTCCAGAGGGGACAATAGCACCCAGCCTTGCCGAGTCTTCACCATGCCCCCAGACCTCCCGCTTACTGAGGATGAATGGTCAGTCCTTGGTAAAGAACTCACCTTTGTCCTCCTCCACCCACACATCAACGAATACCGGTCATGTTTGGACATTGAGCAGTTTATCCGCCGCCTCCGCCTCCACGCTTACTTCTTCAACCGTGAGCCTAACCCTCCCTCTACTGACCCCTTCTCCCGCCTCCAACACACCCCCTCCTCCTGGGCACCACCCCAAGGCCTCCTACCCTCCCTTGACCTCTTCATCTCCAACTGCCGTTGAGACGTCAATCGCCTCAACCTCTCCACCCCTCTCGCTCACTCCAGCCTCTCCCCCACAGAACGTGTAGCCCTCTGCTCCCTCCGCTCCAATCTCAACCTCACCATAAAACCCGCGGACAAGGGAGGCGCTGTTGTAGTATGGCGCACTGACCTCTACATCGCTGAGGCCAGGCGCCAGCTCTCCAACACCTCCTCCTACCGCCCCCTTGATCATGACCCCACCCCCGACCACCAAATCATCATTTCCCAAACCATCCACAACCTCATCACCTCAGGTGACCTACCACCCACGGCCTCCAACCTCATCGTTCCCCAATCCCGCACTGCCCGCTTCTATCTCCTTTCCAAAATCCACAAACCTGACTGCCCTGGTCGACCCATTGCCTCCGCTTGCTCCTGCCCCACCGAACTTATCTCCACCTATCTCAACTCCATTTTCTCCCCCTTGGTCCAGGAACTCCCTACCTACATCCGTGACACCACCCACACTCTCCACCTCCTCCAGAACTTCCAATTTACTGGTCCCCAACACCTCATCTTTACCATGGATGTCCAGACCCTATACACTTGCATTCCCCATACAGATGGCCTAAAGGCCCTCTGCTTCTTCCTGTCCCGCAGGCCCGACCAGTCCCCCTCCACTGACACCCTCATCCACTTAGCCGAACTCATCCTCCCCCTCAACAACTTCTCTTTCAATTCCTCCCACTTCCTACAGACAAAGGGGGTGGCCATGGGTACCCGCATGGGCCCAAGCTACGCCTGCCTCTTTGTAGGTTACGTGGAACAATCCCTCTTCCGTACCTACACTGGCCCTAAACCCCACCTCTTCCTCCGTTGCATTGATGACTGTATCGGCGCCACCTCGTGCTCCCACAAGGAGCTCGAACAGTTCATCCACTTCACCAACACCTTCCACCCCAACCTTAAGTTCACCTGGACCATTTCTAATACCTCTCTCTCCTTCCTGGACCTCTCTGTCTCCATCTCTGGCAACCACCTAGAAACCGATATCCATTTCAAGCCCACCGACTACCACAGCTACCTAGAATACACCTCCTCCCACCCACCTTCCTGCAAAAATGCCATCCCCTATTCCCAATTCCTTTGCCTCCGCCGCATCTTCTCCCAGGATGAGGCATTCCACTCCCGTACATCTCAGATGTCCTCGTTTTTCAAGGACCGCAACTTCCCCCCCTCAGTGGTCGAGAACACCCTCGACCGAGTCTCCCGCATTTGCCGCAACTCATCCCTCACACCCCCTCCCCGCAATAACAACCAAAACAGAATCCCCCTCGTCCTCACGTACCACCCCACCAATCTCCGGATCCAACGCATCATCCTCCGACACTTCTGCCATCTGCAATCCGACCCCACCACCAAAGACATTTTTCCCTCCCCACCCTTATCTGCTTTCCAGAGGGACCACTCTCTCCATGACTCCATTGTCCGCTCCACACTCCCCTCCAGCCCCATCATACCCGGCACTTTTCCCTGCAACCGCAGGAAGTGCTACACTTGCCCCTACACCTCCCCTCTCACCCCCATCCCAGGCCCGAAGAAGACTTTCCACATCAAGCAGATGATCACCTGCCCATCTGCTAATGTGGTATACTGCATCTGCTGTTCCCGTTGTGGCCTCCTCTGTATATGGGAAACCAAGCGGAGGCTCGGGGACTGCTTTGCGGAACACCTACGCTCGGTTTGCACTAAACAACTGCACCTCCCAGTCGCGAACCATTTCAACTCCCCCTCCCATTCCTCAGATGACATGTCTATCCTGGGCCTCCTGCAGTGCCACAATGACGCCACCCGAAGGTTGCAGGAACAGCAACTCATATTCCGCTTTGGGACTTCACAAGCAGGAACTCAGCTGCCCTATTTCCAGCATTAACTGTTTGTCTTTGTGAGGAACCTGTGAACAGGAAGGAGGTGACTCCTATTGTGGAGAAAGTGGAGGGCCAGGAAGGGGAGAATTAA